CTGGAGGCCTGGAGGAGCCTGAGAGGCAGGTGGAGGAGAGAGCCGCCCGCCCACAGCCCACCCTGCCCACCCTGAGCGAGTGCGCAGCCCGGAGGGCGGAGTGATGCGCTGCTGCTGGCATGAAAAGGCTAATGAAACTGCCCGCTGGGGACAGGCCTGGGACCGGGGGAGCCCTGGAACCAGGGGCAGCTAGTGGGTGGGGGCTGGTGAGGTGGGGGAGGTGATGGGGTCCCCTGGGCCACGCCAGTTTGAGGAAGCCAGAGGAGGCGTCTGCATCGGGGAACCGTGATTGGATGCATAAGCCTGGAGCTCAGGACAGAAATGTGGGCTGGACACTTATTACAGATTCACAGAAAGTTGTAAAAAATGTACAATTTGGTGGTCAGTGCAGGTCATAGTGACTGGTCCACTGGTCGACTGTCTGCCCCCTGGTGGTCAGTGCACGTCATAGAGAGCGGTTGAGCGTCCTTAGCATATCATTAGCATATTACGCTTTAATTGGTTGAACAGCCTACCAGTCGACTGGACACTTAACATATTAGGCTTTTATTATATAGGGCAGTGGTTCTCAACCTTCTGGCCCTTTAAATACAGTTCCTCATGTGGTGACCCAACCATAAAATTATTTTCGTTGCTACTTCATAGCTGTCATGTTGCTACTGTTATGAATCGTCATGTAAATATCTGATCTGCAGGATGGTCTTAGGCGACCCCTGTGAAAGGGTCGTTCAACTGCCAAAGGGGTCGCGACCCACAGACTGAGAACCACTGATATAGTGTGTCAACAGCACAGCACTGTGATTAAGGCGTGCTTGGAGGGCACCCTGTGTTACGCCCAGGTGGCCAGGCACTGGGGTCTCAATGGCCCTGCACAGGGCCTGCTGCACGCGGGCGCAGCTCAGTTGTTCCAGGTTAAACGCTACATGTTTGGCTTTTTTTTTTTCTTGCAACAAGAGAGCACAGCACGCTGAGTCCCTCTAGCACAGCGGTTCTCAACCTGTGGGTCGCGACCCCTTTGGGGGTCGAACGACCCTTTCACAGGGGTCGCCTAAGACCATCGGAAAACACATATATAATTACATATTGTTTTTGTGATTAAACACTATGCTTTCATTATGTTCAATTTGTCACAATGAAAATCCATCCTGCATATCAGATATTTACGTGACGATTCATAACAGTAGCAACATTACAGTGATGAAGTAGCAACGAAAATAATGTTATGGTTGGGGGTCACCACCACATGAGGAACTGTATTAAAGGGTCGCGGCGTGAGGAAGGTTGAGAACCGCTGCTCTAGCAAGTCAACTCGGACCAGGTAGGAAGGATATTTTTTCCCCGGAGCGGAGGGAGCGGCCGCTGTGTGACTTTCACGCTCTCTGTGCTTTTACTCGGTCACCTGCACATTCGCTCTTGCATCCGCGAGCTCTGACCTTACAGATTCCTAACCACAGCCTCAGACTCACCTGCCAAGGACACACCCTAAGGCCCGCCGTGGGCAGAGGCGGTGCCTGAACGGCGCCGCAGCACCATCTGCTGGTGGGCACGAGCGCTGCACCCAGGACGGCTAATGCCTTCCTTAGGAGCAACACCCTCTCTCCTCCAGCCACCGCCCAGGCACCGGGCCTGCCCGCCCCAGGCGCCCCTGCTCGCCTCCCCAGCGCAGAGGCAGCGGGCGTGGACCTCGACCCACACCTGTGGATCCCACTGGCTGTGCCTCGGGAGCTACGCTGGCCGATGTGATGGGATAGGAGCCCTGACCCCTGAAGGCCTCGATGCTGGAGACGCCTGCGCTCAGTGCTGGCTCCGCCCTGGTCAGCGGTGGGACCCGGCGAGCTGCTCCAGCCGCTTGAGGCTCAGCCCTTTCACTGCAAACAGACAACTGGGGCCAATGATTCATCCCCGGCGAGGCTGTGTTACAGACATGCTCTCTGCGAACTGTAAAGGTCACAATAGAGTCACTAAAAGAAAAGTATTTACAGCCCGGACGGCGTGGCTCCGTGGGTGAGCGTCGACCTAGGAACCAGGAGGTCACGGTTGGATTCCCCGTCCTGGCACATGCCGGGGTTCCCGGCTCGATCCCCAGTGTGGGGCGTGCAGGAGGCAGCCGGTCCATGATTCTCTCTCATCACTGATGTTTTTCTCTCTCTCCCCCTTCCTCTCTGAAATAAATAAAAATATATTGAGGGGAAAAAAAGAAAAGTACTCATACTTATTACCAATGTAATAACAACTGACAAAGAGGGGAGTCGGGGGACGCGGGGGTGGGGAAAGGGCTCACACGTGAGACATTTCAGCTGGGTTTTGAAGGATGAGTAGGAGTTTTCCAATCAGACCAGGGGAAGGGCAGTCCGAATGGGCGAACTGTGTACAGAGCATGGCAGGAAGAAGCACTGAGGCGCTCTGGGCAACTGCGGAGAGTTTGGTGTGGCCTGAGCATACGGCGGAGAGGCGAGCAGGCGCCCTGACCCCGCACAGGTGAGCTCGATCGGACCGCCGGGAGCGGGTGGCGGGCACCTGGTTTGATGAGGAGATTCCCAGGGCTTGCTGGGCCGACGCCCAAGGCCCAGTGCCTGGAAGCCATCTTTGCAGCAGGCGTTCAGCGTTGCTGTCCCTAACCCTCACGGCAACTGGCAAGGTAGGCGGCGACGTCCCATTTCCCGGGGCGTGGCCCAGCGGCCTGGCGGAGGTGGTCCAGCGGCCTGGCGGAGGGGAGGCGGGCGGAAGGCCCGGTGGGGTGGACTCCCCTGCTCCCCTGGAGGAGACGGGCCGTGTTCGTGTGGACGGGGCGCGTCTCAGGGACAGGAGGGTCATTATTTGTTCCTGTGATGAACTCTGAGAGATATTCATAGGCATTTTGTTAGAACTTGAAAACAACCTTTGAACAGAGAATAAAAGAATAAAAGGAATCCCCCAGGTCACCTCTCAGCCCCCCTTCACCAGGTTTCCTGGCTGCTGTCCTCCCTCACCCCGGGCTGCTGTCCAGCTGCCCTCCCTCACTCCGGGCTGCCATCCACCTCCCCGGCCTGGCCACGGGGTCAGATGCGGGGCTGAGTGAGACTGGGCCCCCCCACAAGCCGCAGAAGCTCAAGGCCGGTGCCGGGAACGGGAGTCCCTGCCTGCCTCCTCCCGCCTCCCAGGGTCCTAGACTTCCTATCCCTCTGGGTCAGCCCTCCTCCTGCCCAGCTCCCTGACTCCCCGACGGGCCAGTCCGCCTCGGGGTCAGAGCCTCCTCTCCCTGGGTCCCCCTCGGTGGCCTGTCTCCCCTTCTGCTGGTGGCCAATCCCGTTCTGCCAGGATCGCAAGGTGACCAGGAGGTGGCGCTGCTGAGTCAGCTCTGCCTCTGGGCTGCCCATGAAGTTCAGGGGGACTGAGGGAGGGCGAGAGGGAGGGACGGGACTGGGCCTAGAGGTGTGTGGTCCAGCTAAAAGCATTCTGCATGTGTGCGTGCGTGTGCGTATGTGTGTGTACTGTGAACACATACATAAGTGCACACCAGCAAGCATGTACACCATGCATACTAGCAAATATGCACACACATAGATACATACCGATAGACACATATGCAGACATGAATACAACACATCGCACTAGTATGTATATACACCCCCCCACACACACATACATACAGTGGTGTTTGTGTATTGATAGATAAATATACAGATACAAACCAGCATGTTAATCTAAGATATGTAAGGTATACATACACATACATTCCAATACACACACACAGAGGCGTGTCTATGCATGTGCATATACTGGTGTGTATGTGTGTGTGCATAAATACACACAGTGTGCATGTGTGATACGTATGCATATACATGCACACCCGGGCGTGCACACATGTGTACCAGTGCATGGGTGCTGCCCGTTAGCGGCTCTGACTCCGGACCTGAACCCCCACATCAGGCAGCGAGGCCAGATCGCCGTCCTCCTGCCAGCGGTGCTCCCCCAGCGCCGTGAGCTCCTGGTTTCCCAGGGCCGTGAGTTCCCGCGGTGACTTGATGAGCTTGTGGCCGGGCCGGGCCATGTCCATGTTTTGCAGTTTACCCGCCTCACCGTGCGCAGGAGGGCTGGTGGGTGGAGGCGGGGGAAGTATTTCCAAGATTCAGAAGACAGACGTGCTTCACAGACCGATCGGGGCCTCGGGGGGGCGTCGTGGGGGGAGAAGTGGGACCCACAC